AGAAAAAAAAAATCACTATCAGTGATCTAGGGCAGGGTGAGCAAGCCCTGGCCACTGTTTTAGAACAGCATCCCAGGATGCTCCACATCCCTACTCTCTGGTATTCAGAATCTCCTCCCAGCCAGCTCTTTGGCACATCTCTGCCCAGGGAACTGAAATTGCTAGTTACACATCTGATTACTATCCCCTTTTATAACAATCATTTACATGTTGGAAGACGGTTACCAATATCCCTTCTCAAGGTCTGTCTATATAGCTTAACAGTATACTGTGCAGATATTTGAGCTACCTCTATTTGAGCCAGCTTAGGTACTAGAAGCAGTGTAGCTGTATTGGTGCAGTACTTTTCCCAGGGTAATTAGACATAATGAAATATAGGAATGTCATGTGGTTGCAGCTGTACAATTTCCACAATTTGAACTAGCTCATTCAGAGTAAGTTGGTATCTCTTCACATCACTGCATTGTGCAGTGCAGGCTACCTTCAGTTTTCTCATGGGATATGTTTTCAGACAACCTTGCTGCTTTCCTCTGAACTCTTTCCAATTTTTCTGTGTGCATTTTTTAGTACAGTGCCCCGAACAGGACCCCATCCTCCATTTGAGGCCTCACCCACACAGTTGCAAAATATTGCAACTGAAAAATTTAGCTTAGAGACAACATTAATAAAAGCAGAGTCTGTGGTATCTGTTGGAAGGAATGTTTACAGGATGCATGCCAGATAAATTTTAATTGAAAACATAAGGTCAAACTGAGAGGCACTCAACTGATTTTATATAAAAGGTTCCAAACATCCATATGACAATTTAAATTAAACTAAAGATGCTTTGGAAGAAAAGTATAGGAAAAGCTATACAGATCCTTGGACTACAACTAATAAGGGATGTAGGCACTGACAAATTAAGCACCTCAGTGCCTGATTTTTAGGCATCTGGCCCCTAACATGGAATCTGGAACCCCATGTAGGGTACTTTGGCTTCCTAAGGAGTGCATCTGAGAATGGGTTCCCAAAGAGGGAGCTTGCTGTAGGCAACAGGAAACAATGTACATAAGTTTCATAGTTTCATAGATTTAGGGTCAGAAGGGACC